CAAGAATGTGTACCTAAATTCTGATTTCACTGTTTATATGATTCCTTGGCTGGGTTTGGCTTTGAAGAAGAAACCCAGCTATTTTTTTTTCTTTGTTTTGATATGAGCTTCATGGCCAGATGAGAAAGGGGTGAGCAATTTTTAAAGCTTCTCTGAGCTTTCCATGTTTCATTGCAGCAAAAAAATTAATTCAAACTTAGTTTTATAATCACAGATATGGATATGGAAAATGAGAAATACACATCTTTATTTCAGATTAACAATAATGAAGTGACAAAAGATAATTTTGCCAAGACAGGGAAAAAAATCTTTATTCTGGAAATCATAAATTGGTGAATTATACTGTTCTATTCCTAGCCTAATGGACCTCTTTAACTCATTTCTGACTATCAATGTAAGAGAGATAAATATAGAAAATTATATACTGACCAAATGTACCAAAGGTGCTTTTCAAAAGGCATCTGGACTTTCTTTGTTTTTTCCTTGAAAACATTTTGCTTCTCATCCAAGAAGCTTCTTCAGTCCTGACTTCAAAGATACTTTTGAAAAGCGTCTTTGAGACAACCAGGTCCTGGATGATTGAGAATTTCCGTAGACATACTTACCAAATGTTTTTCTACCTGCTATGTGTATTGTCACACTAATTTGGATGTTTTGAACATAATTCTTCAACTTGAAGAACTATTTCAATTATGTCTCTATAGTTTAAATATCTGTAAGTCCTTCCATTTGGTAAACTGTATTTATCTGAAAGATGTGTTAAAGGCATATCAATTTAATCTAATTTTTAATGTATCTATGATTATGGGGATAAATAATTTGAATTCCTATCCCTATACAGGAGTAAAACCAGGCCATCCTATAAGGTCCTTTATCATTTATTCTGACTATGGAACTTTGGGTGCAGATCATGGACTAAATGAAAGAATGAGGCGGGGCAGGTTCTTGATTCAAGTTAAAGAAACTTGCTTGAATTTGTATTGTGAATAATATTATACTTATTTACTATCAAATCCATTGAAAACAGAATCCTGAAAATATTAATTATTGGAATTTGGTGAGATAGCAATATTAAAGTATATTTTGCTAAATCTGGATTTGTGATTTATAAGTTCCCCTTCAAAATCAGCAGGTCTTCAAAGCACCATGAATATTCATCTTTAGATATTCCAATAGATATTCCAATAGCAAAGAATTACACAAGTGTATTTCAGACAAGTCAATTCTTCTGTGGTTTTGTTTGCAATTCTTAAAAATATAGCTTAATGGGGGAAAATTAGATCTAACTCAAAAAGACCAGGTAACTATGATAAAAATTGTATTACTTTTCTATGCATTATCATATTGAATAGTTGAAAAACAACTCTTTAGATGGCAAAGAAAAGTGGAAAAAAATCTACTTCAGAAAGTTTATTTATTCCCATATGTTGATAGGGTATAGAGCAGTGATGGCGAACCTTTTAGAGACCGAGTGCCCAAACTGCAACCCAAAATCCACTTATGCATCATCGAGTGCCGGGTGGATGTGGCCCATTGGGTGGGTGTGGCCCATTGGGTGGGCGTGGCTGCGGCGGTAACGGCAGACTGGGTGGGACTAAAAAGTTCAATCAATTCCAACTTGGCAAGATCTTTTTTTCCCCCATGAGAAGTTGAAATTGACTGATTGATTGAACCTTTTTTTATTTGCACATGGCGGCGGAGGCCTAAAGCAAAAAGATTTTATAAAACCAAGCTGAAGGCCTAGGACTGGGGCGACAGTGCGCGTGCCCACAGAGAAGGCTCTGAGTGCCGCCTCTGGCACCCGTGCCATAGGTTCGCCACCACTGGTATAGAGGATATCAAACCTGAAGGTTTTTTATGAAGCATATCTGTTATAATGTTTACTTTAATTAAATAAAGAAAAAATATACAAATCATGGATGCAAATAGAGAATTATGAATAATTAATTTGAATATATTATTTTTACTGAGAATGGAATATACAATATTACAGAATATTATAAATAATTAGAAATAATAAAAATGTCTGTCGACCTTTGTTTCTCTTTTCTTTGCTTATTGTTGTTATTTGCCACTGTGAGTTTTGGATCAAAATAATAAATTAAATAATTTCTTTAAAGAACATAAAATTTGCAATCATTATCATAAATCCTGAGTACTCTTTAAGCATTCTTATGAAGTAATTCTGCCGAAAGCCCTAGCCTAGTGAGACAAGCACCACCTGAACTAGGCAAAATGCTACCTAGCACTGAACAGAAACCAGTGTTTTATCCGACTTTACAGGTAAAACAAAAATTCTGTTTTGTATATTGTGAGCAGATCCCCTCTGGAACCAATTCTATGGGAGCTTATCTTAATCTGTTAAATATACTGTATTCACTAATAAAGAGGAAGGTTTCTGGAGATATTGATGAGTACTTTCTTTCTTTTCATCATTATTTGAAGTAGTCCATAATTAAGCCCTGATATTGACAATACATTTCAAAAATTCCAAAGTGGAGCCTTACTTTAAATTAAGGTCTGACTGAGACTGTAAATTTGAAATGACACAATTGAAATTGTTAGAGTCATGTATTTATAAAACCATATTCAATTAAGCTAGAAAAGTGCAATGTCTGTCATCATGTCATAAAAATATGTGTTTTTCTCTCAGATTTGTTGTACCAAAGCCCAGCCTATATTGCTGCAGATGGAAGCTGTTTTCAATCAGTTACAAGGAGCAATCCAATTACTAGATGGTTTAGTGCAGTAACTGACTCCAGCCTAATTTAATTTCTTTGGGTCTCTAAAGATCAATTGATCTGATTTGCTTCCCTCCCTAAAGGCTAGTTAGGGGGAAAAAGCAGACTTAAATATCTGGAAATTAAATATGAAGCTTTGTCCCACATTCACACTATTTAGGTCAACCCAAAGTCTCACTGCTTATGATTAATAAGAGTTCTGCGGGATATTTTGCATAGCAAAGAAAACAAGCTAATGTTCCAAACAATTGATAACATAAAAGGGGTTTTGCCTTAGGAAACTTATTCATAAAATTGATTTTTCTGATTACAAGGGCAACTTAAACATTTAGTTTTCAAGGTGGGGAGTCAATCTGCTAACAACCTTTGCTAAGTCATATAAATGAAATTTATAATATTGCTTGTTTCCAAAAGTAGCGTTGGAGATCTTATTAACTCTGCAGGCTGTCCTCAAGGTCCATCATTCAAGGAATGTATTGACATTGTAATCCATTGCTTTTACTACATATAATATGTGCATAGAAAAGATATTTCCTACTGTGTCCTATTTGTTAGATTTATGGATCATTTTTCAGTAAAATCTATTTTAGCTGAATTTTAAAATTAAGTATGATAAATTTCACTCATCACAGGGAGATTGAAATAATCAATATGTGAGTGTTTTGAAGCCAATAGCTTCTTCTTTTTAATTTATAGCTTTAGCTTATAGAAACCGTTTGATATTTTCAGGAAAAAGTTTTTATAAGGTTTCTTCCTTTTACATATCTACTGTACATGTATTAATGGCAAACAGTATTTTAAATTCTGTAACTTAGTCTTGGACCGTAAATAAATAAATAATCTATGTTAGATTTATTTCAGAGTAATTATTGGGAATTTATTTGTAGTCTGCATTTAAAAACAATTTTTATGTTACTGTCTCTAAAATTATATACTCATTGAAGATTTTGGAAAAAATAGCAGAGGCTTCTAAGCTGGTTGCTTATCTTCATTAGAAGCTGAAGGACATAGGTGAAAGCAATTCTATTTATGTAGTCACTGAAATAAAGATCTTGACTGGTCTATTTATGTAAAGCAGAAACAATTGTTTGAAAGAATCTGAAACTACTATTCAATGATCCAAAAATGTGGTTCATAAAAAGAAGACTATATTTTAAATATATTATAGATTTTAACGAATGCTCATACAAGATTTTGTGATACTTTTGGCTGCAACTGAAAACATTACCTTATAAGATTTGGTTTTGTTCTATTATTGTCATGTTTAAAATCTACACAATAAAAGGAACAATCATTGCTTCTTAGCTAATTCCTAGATTCAATTAAGACATCACGAATTATGAACTTTTTATGAATGTGCATGCTGCAGAAGGATTCAACAATATTTAAGAAAAGTTTATCTAAGCACAGATTCAAAGCTGCTGCATGAATTTACCCCTTTTATTTTTAAAGAAAGCTACTATGTTACTTCTCTTCAAAACAGCTTCTGGAACTGTGTTAAATTTAAATTTAGAATTAAATTTAGAAGTGATTGCCTGTGTCCTAGATTGGGACTGAAAGGCAGAAGCGGAAACAGTATACTGCGTCCCATAGTTGGGTAGACCAGGTTTCTCTGATAAACTGGTTTCACCGAAAAACACAGCTTCTGGAAGTTCAGTAGCTCAATGTTTTGGGGTAGGTGCTATACATATAAAGCATCTTCTTTCAATGCCTCTAGTTTGTTATCCGAAAAAGTTTTTACATGACTACAATACATGAGTGGAAGAGTGGAAGCCTCTTGCAGCTTTTGAAATGGCTAGAAGATATAAAATAGCAAACTGATTTATTGACTTCTTACTTCAGTCAGGAAAACTGTTTTCTCAATGACATCAAACACTTTGTTGAATCAAAGCCAAGCAATCTTACATAGTACCACAAATCGGCAATCATATCATTTAAAATATGTGATTAGCTTGCCCTCACTTGTCTTTTATTCACACATACAGATAAACAGATTACATAAAAACAGTCAAGATGCATCAGTGAACACATTCTTATTGCTTTGATATAACCATTATAAGAGAACACATACTGTCTATGCTGCTTAGAAGCAACTTTTATCACAATTTATTGAGCACGTGCAAGATGTGTCACTTCTTTGAAAATGTTCCCTGAGAAAACCTGGAAGATTTATATTTACAGCCAAGACCAGAAATGATACATGGGACAATTTAGCATTCCCTTTAGAATCTATCCATATATACAACAGATCCTCATTACCTCTCAATATCTGTGAGTCTGGAAGAATCCCTGAATCCTTTAGCAAAAGGGTTGCTGTCAATTTTCAGCTTGGTTATCTAAAAACAGAAAGAGATGAGAAAGTCTTACAGCATATAGCAATGTTACTTAACCAAACCCATCTCTGGTTGAATTGTGGCATATTTCATCACAGAAACTGATTAACAAATTATGTCTTCGTACTGGAATTGTAAGAAAACTTGCTCATTTGATTCACCATCCTGTAGCTAGTTGCTAATTAGAGATACAGTACAGATAGTCCTCCTTACAACCACAATTGAGCCCAGAATTTATGTTGCTAATTAAAAAAATTGTTAAGTGTCTTTTGGCCTTACAATTTTTCTTGCCACATTTGTTAAGTGAATCACTGCAGTTGTTAAATTAGTAACATGGTTGTTTAAGTGAGCACATTGACTTTGCTTGCCAGAAGCACATTTACAAAGGCTTCCCCATTGATTTTGCTTGTCAGAAGGTTGCAAAAGATGGTCACATGACCCCCAAGCCATTGCAACCATCATAAATATTGTCAAGCATCTGAATGTAAATCACGTGACCCTGGGGCCATGCTGCAACGGTCATAAGTGTGAAAAATGGTTATAAATCCCTTTTTTCAGCGCTGTGGTAACTTTAAACGGTCACTATATGAACTGTTGTAAGTCAAGGATTACCTGTATATTCTTATTTAACCTTGTATAGCGTTAACCCCTTGAAATAATTAACATTAATCATCCTGACTGAAGCAATCTGTATTTCAGTGAATCTAAATCATTCAGGAAAACAATGCAAACTGCTTTGTTCTTTAAGCCTTTGGGAAATAGCAGGCTGTTGCCTTTATAGCATGGGTGTCAAACTTGCCATGTCACGTGATGTGTTGCGACATATCACAATTCTTTTTGCATTGCCAGCAATGGAGTGGACACAGCTTCGGTATGATGAAACCAGCCCGCAAGCTGGTAGTTTGACACCCCTGCTTTACAGGGATGATGATTGGAAATTCATTATTTTCTGCTGACTCTTTTTTTTTTTTTTACTTGTTTTTGCAGGAATCGGGATTTAATTGTTTTGTAGTTTTGTTCTGTTTTGTTTTTATAAGTTTTTATGATTGTTAACCACCTGGAATCTTATGGAATAGGGTAATATTCGGAATATACAGTAAATGCAATTTTAAAGCACATTTTGAAACAAATATTAGAGATGCATTCCAAATATAAGGAAACGTTGGGGCTATGCATAATTTGACAATTAACTGAAAGATGTGTTCTGGATCTTCCATGAGTGCAACTCCTCTCTGCTGTTATTAAAACTCTTAATAAAATTCCTAAAACACTGTGCTATCTCTGCATATATTTGAAAGAATTTTTTAAAAATTATTTAAATAATTATTTAAAATTATTAAAACAGATCAGGTTAATTGACCCAACCAACTGTTCTGTTTCATGTAGAGAATGTCAACAAAGCGATGGGTTGAGATATCTTATTAAAACAAAAACAGAACGGAATTGCCTGGAATATAATGCACTTTAAGGCCACTATACAGAGAAGTAATTTCTCAGCTCCTTGGGGCTAAGAGGTAATTTTCCTAACATTGTATTTAGCGATATAAATGCAAATAATTGGCCAAGCTGTGTGTTCGAAAAACCAACCAGAGGTGGGGATAATATGATAAATGGTATTGTATTATCAGTATTTAGTTATTTATTAGTTAGTTATTCATTATTTGACAACTGCTATACAAATTAAGAAATTTCTATAAAAGAGATGCTAAAGCTATTGTTGAATAAGAAATTCCTATTCACTTACTATGGAAAATTAACAGTTTTATCTTATAGTAAAATTCAGTTTGCCTTTACAAAAGGAAGCAGTTGGTTAATGCTGTTAGATAATATTCAGATATTTTTATGAAGCCACACTTAAAAGGGAAAGGGAAAAAATCAGTTTCTATATGATTGAAGAAAGCATTTTCAAGAAAGCTTGTCAAAATGAAAGTTGACCTACAATTCAACTCTCTTGCAGTGGCTTGACTGTTTAAACAAATGTCTGACCTTTAAATCTTAAATGTGAGATAGTTTGTTGAAAGTGTAATGTATTTAGCTCTTATCTAATAACCTGAAGAAATGTAATCATCCCCTTTAAAACCAGCACAGAAAGAAATGGTAAAAAATAAGAGAGGTTCCATCTTCATTAGTCATAGATACTATGACAGAATCAATCTCCAGTATTTTCAGAGAAGTTCCACTGGGAAATTCAACAGGATTTATGTTATGTGCTTCAGAAACAAAACAGCACTTTTAAAAACTGCTATATCAATGTACATGCCTACTGTTCTGCAGAACTTGTACATGCACCAGTCAGCAATGGTTGACTAGATTGTTTTTAACTGAAGTAGTGCATGTGTATATGTATAAAATATTTGAAAACTTGGAAAAATTTACATAATATTCATTAAAAATATATTAACCTAGGCCAGTGGTGGCGAACCTATAGCACGCGTGCCAGAGGCAGCACTTGGAGCCCTCTCTCTGGACACACGTGCCATCACTCCAGCCCCGCCTCCCCACCACACCCCTCCTCACCAGCAGCCCCCCCGGAGGAGAGTTACCCCCGGTCACGGCCCGCACATAGCAGCGCAGCCAAGCACATGGCAGCAGGGACAAGACTCCACCCTCGCGCCCCATCTCATGTAGATGATGTTGCGGAGCGTGGGCGGAGGGAATGGCCGCCATAATGCTGCTGGGCGGCCTGGGCGATGTGCTATGGCAGGCTGTGGAGGCAGTGGGTGGTCCTGCGGGTGGGTGGGGCGGGGGTATAGCGGGGCAGGGTGGGAGGACGGTGCGGGGGCAAGGGCGGAGTGGGTGGGGGGACGGTTTTTGGGCACTCGGTCTCTAAAAGGTTCACCATCACTGACCTAGGCCACCAAGATAATCCAGATGTGGAAACTGGATTAATTTACATTGCCCAGAATTAGACTTCAAAATGGTATCAATATGTTCAAAATCTTCCATTCAACAATCAACCCACTGTATGCAGATATTCAGAACTACCTTTCTCATCCTCCCACTTTTCAGGCATATTAGTATTATAATTCCCAGAATTTCAAGCCATAGCATGACCAGTAGATTTCTGGGACTTATACTCACATCACATCTAAAGGACAGCATTTTGCCAAAAAGTTCCATCCTGAACTTTAATTAGGAAAGTACAGCATAAATTAGAAAACTATCATAAAGAATGTACAGCATACATTAGAAAACTATCATTAGGAAAGGATAGCGTACAACAGGAAAGAATATTTTTTTTTGGTATTTAATGCATTATCATTATGGGTTGCCTAAGAGGAAGAATAAATGGATTTTACTGTTTCTTTTTTCTGTGGTATTAAAAAGATATTGACTGGCTTTGGATCTCTAAACGGGAGGCAAGAGCATTATATTTTGCTTTGCCTTAAATATGAACATTTATCTTAATCTTAACATAACTAGATACCGGAACTCAAACACTTGCATAATGGTGTAGCCTTGTAGCGTAAGGCAGAGCATAAAGTACATATTTACTCAAGAGTAAGAACTATGGTATCAAGCAGAACCTCTTCCCAGTTAAATACGGGACAACTTACTCCTGAGTACGGTATATATGTATAATGAAGCCCTATATTGATCAGGAGGTGAGTCTAGCGGTAGCTGACCCGCTTGATCCAAAGAAGCACGCAGGATCGGCATGCGGTCAGCCAGAAGCTACTGATCATCGGAGACAGCAAACACAAACAAGTGGAAAGCAAAACAGCTGATCTGGGTGAGACTATTTTCCTTACCTCTCTACAACTGAAAAAATACTGGTTCTGGAAAAAGCTCCCAAAAGCAAGAAATCCCCAAGCTTTAGGGAGGCATGATTTTTTCTCTCTCTCTACCCCTCCCTCCTGAACTATAAGCGATGGTTTAAGTTTTGGGGGAAATTAAAACTGACTTATAATAATATTGTGAAGAAAATTGAGGGATAGAAGAAGAATATTTTGGAAAACTTTTGCATTTATAAATTTTTTTTTATTCCTTATTTGGAAACCATTGGATTTTAACTTTCTAAACTTTTTAAAGTTTGGTGGGAAAGGACATCTAGTGGCAAATGGACATCTAGTGGCAAAACTAAGAACTGCATTTAACATTACTTTTTTAACCTTATCAAGCTGTTTTGACTGGAGCCCTAAAACTTGGCTAGATGCCCAGACACAGCTTATAGTTTAAACTTTTTGTTGTCCTTGAAATTTATAGTCCTGGAGATTGTGGCTGGAAAAGAGAAGAATCTTTTTGGATTGCCCTTTTCTACAGGATGGATTACAATTATAAATAAAAGTTGTTTTGAAGTCATCTGACTTTCCTGGATTACAAATACAGCTTGACCTGGAATTTTTACAAATTATTTTGACAGAATGAATAACAAGAAACTTCTACTAGCAGAACACTTTGGATTACAAATTTTGGTATATTTTTTTCTTTTTTTCCCTTTTGTTCTTTTTTATTATCTATTATTTTTTACTATTTACCTCTCCTATTTGTTAGGAGCCTATTGGATTACAAATTCTGATTTACTTGGTGGATTATAAAGTATGTTTAAAAGATAAAGATGAGCATCCCAAACCTATCTAAAGCTGGAAAAAAAGTAACTTCTGCTCCCTCCTTTGCTTCTGTAAGTCCAGTTTATCAGAGATCAATTAATACAATGCTCCAACAAGAAAATGCTAATAACTTCCAAAAAGAAACTCAAGCGATGCTACAAGCAATTCAAGAGGCAATTGCTACTCACATGGCAGCTACAATGAGAAACCATGAGGATATGAATAACATGGACTCTCAATTTGAAAATTTTAAACAGATGGTTACAAAAAACCAACAAAGAATTCAAAAAATAGAAGATAAATCAACTGAGGTTGATCAGAAATCAGAAATTGATGCAAATAAATGGAGAACTAGAAGACTCGATAGTTGTCATGGAAATGGAAAAGGCCTCATACTTTTTAAAATTTCAAAATATAATAGAAGATAAGGAAGAAGACCTTCTAGACCTGATA